ATTTATCTTCTTCTCTTTTCATTCGTCTTGTTCTCATTTCTGCCCTCTACCCGGAAATCTGCTGCATCTCATTGTCCACTAGACTACAGCATATCCGATTTGAATCGAGTGGAGCAACGCCCCACCAAGCTTGCTCAGTTTTACTCTTCGAGATGAATTAGCAAAATCCAATAACCCTCCCGGATCTTCCTCTCGAGCTATTGCTCATGATATCTGAGCACTTGTCGCCCGTTCACGTTGCTTGTCTCGCCCTATGCAACCGCCAATTGTTGTCTTCCTTGGGATTTGCATACCACAACCTACCGAAGACCCGCACTGGGGGGCCCTGAGGATGGGCCGCGGATCGATTTATTGACACGTTTTTCTCGTGATTTACCACAGTACCATCTCTGTCACGCCTGCCTACGACTGCATCTTTGGCAAAAGGTGGCTCTACCAGGTCCCAAATTCAAACTTCCAGTCTGCGTAGAGTCCCCAGATGGAAATGTACATCGTCTCAAAAAGCTTCTCTACATTATCCATTACCCAAGCCACGCTTACTACAAGTTCTATTTTGTACATCTTCAACTTACCATGCGAAGGTTTTACCGCGGAGCTCAATTTGAAATACCCGTTCAGTTATTGCTCTATGCAGAGGTGGGAACCAATCCTAACACAGATAAAGCGCTGAACCCTACCAAACCGCGCAACGAGGAGGAATTTGAATGCAGATATATGACAACTCTCCTATCTGTTGACGCATGGATTTGTTCGGACCCCCCAAGTCTTTACTTACGAACCCAAGAGCTTGCGGTAGTGAGGCAACACAACCTATATTTCCAGACCACTTTTATTCTCACATCCTAAAAATGAGTCTATGCACAGCTGTATGCATCTTGGCCGGATCTCCAACTAAGGCTGTCGTTCACGAGCTTATTGATAAATATCGCTCTGATACGACAACAAAACCCCGAGATCATGGGCGCTGTGATAAATGCAATACTTCATGGCAAATTGAGAAATTGAGATACCGAAAATGGGGCATCACGATGTGTATCTTGTATTCAGGCTTGACTTAGGACCAGGACTAAGCCCGGACGATGCCCGGTGGAGGTGTCAGAATGACTACGAATTCGAAGTCAAATTGGCAGATCATGAAAAGGCTGATTCCCGACAGCGGTTTGAAAACGATTCCATACAGGCTAATTGCTCGGATACGCTCAGAGGAGGAAATGTATCATCGAAACGTGAGATTTATCCAAGGCCAGACATATCGAACGCTGATGGCCGGGTTTGGGGTATCCAGCTGGTGCCTACATGGAGAAGAAGAGCTAGATCAGTCTTCTCGCTGCCTTGTCATTTGAGAGAGCATAATGAATGCAAAGTTGGTCAGGCCTGCCGTTCCTGACTTGACTGCCCAAGTCGGTTTGCTGGCTATGAGTGGAACCTGGGCCGCTCCTGCGATAGCAGAGTGGACTTCCCAAGTTCTATTATTCATATACTAGTATATTCTAGGTCGTCGTGGCAGACCGAAAAAGCCACATTACGACCCTTCCGATTTGGAGATGGGTCTTCCATCGGAGGAAACCAACCAGCTGGCGATAGACTAACTAGTTCTCACGAGGTGAAAGTGGCGAAGCCAAGGTTTCGAGTGTTCTATTATACATGAACACAAAAGTATACGGTTTGCAAAGCCAGATCTCCCACAGTATCTGCTAGGCCAGGCAATAATTTGCAATAGAGATAGGAAATAAGAAAACATAAGAAGTGAAATTTTTTTCCAGGTGTTCTCTGCATATATCGAAATGAAATGTCTATTTCCTATGGAGCTTTAGGCACTATTGTCCGTCTGCAATGCTTAATTGAGTTCAACCTCTCTGCAACTCGCCAAGTCCTATCGTGATCTGAGCCCAGAGTCTGCTCATAGCCTGCCAGTGCTCGCTGGTACATCTCCTCTGCCTCCAGCTTGCCCTGGTTAAAGTAGAAATTCCTGAGGTTGTGGACTGTATTGAGAGTAGGTGCGTGTGTTTTATGGTGCGAACCAGCAACTGTTGACTGGAATAAGGAAATGCGGGGGGTTTTGTAATATGCGCTACTGCCCAGCCTTGGCACGAACGTGGAGTTTTGATTCTTCTCCTCTCCTTTCCCTTATTAGCTCTTTTCCATTCTCGGGATTACGACCAGCAGATTTCAATCAAAATGAGTGACACTCACGAGCTCAGTGACTTGGATATCCCTGAGTTTGGTTACCTATATTTCGATGGGTATGTTGCGGTATGTGAGAGCTAATAGCTGAATGACTGTCCACTTATATCTCCAGGCAAAATGGGACCCTGCCTCCCCTCTCACAAAGGAGCAACACAAGCGCTCTCTCGTTGAATCTTGGACCAGACTTGGGAAATTCGGCCGCAATGTAACTTCTCCTGTCTGCTCCTGCTCGCTTTCTAATCATGCACACGTGCTGATAGTCGTAGGAGTATATTGATGAGAATATTTTATGGCCAATCGATGGGCACCCCTCTTATATCCCACAAGACCTTCTGTCAGACAGAGACCGTAAGTTAGACAGTCAAAGAACTAGCACACTCTGGATCCGCACGTGGTTTGGGAAGAAAGACGACCAGGCGAGCCAAGACGCAGCCGACGCGGCGTATAAGCGGCTGGTTGTCGCGGCCATGTGGGACGGCGATGAGACCGGATTCCGGTACGCTATAGAGCCGGAATTTGTCTTCGATGCGAAGGAAGAATTCGGCCATAATAGTTACACGACTAGTGATGAGAATGGAGATGCGAACCCTGATATCGTCGATGGCATTGCCCTTGGAACGCCGGGCTCTGTCCCATCCTACCTCATCACGGCGATGATGCACTGTCCCGGTCAATTCGACGGCAATACAAGCCCAGACTATGATGAATGGCGCAAATTTTCTCCGAGTCAGATTGAGGCTGAGCTATCTATGTATGATAAGAGGCAAAGCCTGATGGTCTGTGTTGCGGATCGGAAGGCTTGTGAGGAAGGCTGGGTGCTTTTCCTTGCTGTCAATCATAGAGGACAGATTTTGCCCTTTCGGATTCGTGATAGGGCAAGTTGGGTGAGCCAATATGAGGCAAACTGGATGGACGGCCAGGCCCTAGAGGAAAACACTTGTAGTCCTGATGATGATGTAGAGTGTCAAATGCAAGACGGTGATGGGTGGGGGCCACTTTAGCTTGAATATCTTCAATGCTACTATATCATCCTATCGAATACGAATGATACTAAACAAAGGACGTGGTAATTGGGATATTTGGGAGATACATGTATAATCGCCTCGGTTGTTCCTAAAGGTTCGACCTGCAAATACGTATCTACGAGATTGAAAGCTTCGGCTGATGTTTCATTACCGGCCTAACGAAGTACACCGCTTGCGTAGCCAGTTGACTGAGCAGTATCAATTGTCTAAAATATAAATCATACATACATTATTTAGGCCTTAATGCTAATGCGTCCTACTTACAAGCGCCCACCTAGCCGATGAGTCGATGTAGTTCACACCTGGGGACTGATGAATCCTGATTTGGCTCAAAGCATTCAATTCGCAAAAGGCATCTACCCAATAGTTATGAATTTGTAATTGCTACATCTATGTTTCAGCAAGTACTACACTCAACAAGTATTTCTATCCAGCACATAGCGTGATGGCCCCATGTAGAACATTGAATGTTCGGAGTTAACTTCGAAGCAGTGTGCTAGGTCCATCGAGCCTTGCCCCGTTTCGACTACCACTCCCCACTCGCACCACTCACATCTCTCGAATCTCCCCTTGCCTCCTTCCCGGCAGGTCTCCCATCCTGTCTTTATCATGGAGAATATGACTGGTCCCCCCTGGGGCAGACTGGCTGTGGAACAATGCTTCATTGTTTGCCCCGGTGTCTCTTACCCCTCAGCTTATTGACAGGCTCGCACCTTTCTAACCCCGCATAGACAAAGTAGAATTACTCCTCGACCGAAACCCCCGATCAGCAGCGAAGACTAGTCGCTGGGTTTCTCAACCTGAACTTTATTCCGATTGAATGGGTAGAAGATTGGGAGAGATTTTCAGATCCGCCTCGTGCGCCTAGGGCGGAGGAAATTAACACTATTCTTCGACTTACCGTGTTGACGCCCTTCGATGGCGTGCAGATAATATGTTCCATAACCATATATCCCCTGTTTTCCTACGCATATACTATAACACCGAAGAAGGCGAGCGAGCTAAACACGACGAATTGATAAATATATGGGTTGACTTAGACCTATTTGAAGCAGAGTCCTAGTGGGCTATTCTCGATAATGCGGATCACTTTAACTTTAGGTCGGACTCGCGGCACGTATATAATATTCTTCCGGAAGTCGCTGGCCTACTTTCTGCCGGGTTGATAATAAATTGATACCGCGATTCCGTGGCCTAGATTATTATAATAATCCACGTTCTGATTTCAAAACGCAACTTGCCGAAGCGACAGAATAAAACCCCGAGACGTGGTACGAGGGCCGAGATGCAATTATTGAGAGCCTTACGATGAGGTTATATAGACATACCACGAGGACGTACCTAGTCAACCATACTAGATAGCGCAGAGGAAAGTAGAGAGATCCTATGTGTATCGAGCACATGGTGTGACGTCATTGTGTTTGGATGTTTAGTGGAGTTGATGACACCCCACCTATTGACATGCTCGGAGTTAAGCATTCACCCGTTACTGCTGACGATTGCTAGGGGACTATAGTGCCTCCGTCTGTTTTTCTCTGTAATTCTATTGATATACCCATATAATTTACGTTTCGCATATGACAATATAGAGAATAACCCTTAGAACTTAATTCGAGCCAGCGGAGTTAAGACTTACTAGCACGACCCACTTCGTGATCAAGAAGGCTTAACCCCGAACACCAGATTAATGATATAAATCCAAACTTACCAGGCCATATCTTGTCATTCCTGTCATTTGTAAAGCAACATAAGCTAAGGATCCCCATTAAAGTATTCAGCTCAGTCAACATGGTCAAGACACTTCCCTTCGGCGACATCCAGATCCCAACACCGGGCTTCGGTGCTATGGGGTTGAGCCATGGTTTGGGTAGCAATCTGAGCCTCGAGGAAGCCGAACCAGTCTTGCTGAAGGCAATTGAATTGGGGTGCACATTCTGGGACACTGCTGTTGTCTACCAAGCCGGTGTCAATGAAAAGCTTTTGGGAGACTTCATCAGGAAGCACAACATCCGCGATAAGGTTTTCAGTAAGACTTTACACCATCACGAGACATTTATCTGAAATTGACCGTTTTCGCTGGTAGTTGCCTCGAAGTGTGGTTTCAACATCATTGGAGGGGATGGCTCAATCACCAACTCTGCCTCGCATATCAAGGAGTACATAGATGGAACCATCGAGAGACTTGGCTTTACTCCTGATTTGTACTATCTGCACCGGATTGATCCCAGTCAGTGGAATCATTATCTTCTAATATACAATTACTGATTTAAATAGACACGCCCCTCACCGAGTCCATTCCGGCTCTTGATGAAATTCGCAAGGCAAGGAAGACCAAGTACATTGGACTTTCGGAATGTTCAGCTAGCACACTACGCAAGGCAAACTCAAGTGCGTTCTTTGGTAGCCATATTGCGAATATGTTACTGACTGTGAATAGTCGCCAAGATTGATGCTATCCAAGCCGAATATTCAGCCTTTGAGACACTCCATGAAACAGACGGCTTGATCGAGACAACAAAGGAGCTGGGCGTGGCCTACGTCGCGTACAGTCCACTGGGACATGGCTGGCTCGTCGATAACTTCGATTATAACACCCCGGACGACTTTTCCCCAGAGGATTTCCGCCGAACAGGTACCTACCCACTCACAAGCGTGCTAACCCTCGGCTGGCCAGAATCGCTAACACAATCCCTCTCGATAGTTCCCAAATTCCAAGGCGAGAATTTCTATAAGAACCGGGCCATCGTCGATGAAATAAAGAAGCTCGCTGCGCGCAAGGGATGCAAGATTAGTCAAATCGCGCTTGCTTGGGTCGCCTCCCGAGGACTTATCCCCATCCCGGGAACAACCAAGGCGGCCCGTCTGGAGGAGAACTGGGCATCTCGGGAGATTGAATTGACCGAGGAGGAAAAGCAAGCAATGCGTAAAATTATCGATGCTGCTAAGCCACACGGCAACAGATACGGTCACGCGCATCAGGCTATGGTTGGACATTAAGCTGAGAAAGATTTAATTGGAAACAAGCCGTGCCAGCTCGCATCATCAACTTCGCCATTGCTACCAATAAACTTGGATATTCCAGTGGACGTAGAGGGATAGCCTACAAATTGAATTTGTTCCACATAACCTTCGCCGTATCTAAGGACGGACTGTAGAATATTGCACCAGCCAACGGACTGGTTCTTTCAGGTTCCATCCTTTCATAAATGGAAGATTAAACGGGAATTCCGACAGGACCGTGGGAGCAGTAGACTCCACATGGTGGCAAGGGATGTCAATATCACAATAGAGGGCATCATCCATTGGTGTATTTCGGGACATTAGCGGATAAGACAAATTCAAGATCAGATTAGATGGAATCCTGTGATTGACCTGATTAACCTAAATTCCCTACGGACCAAAATAATTGTCGGTTCGTCTCAGAGGTCTTTCAGTCAGCCTGTACAAAGCCTTCGTGTTTTTGTGCTGAGTCGCCCGCGTGCGGTGCACAGGGTCGTACGCAATCGTTGGGGGGGTGTCAACAGCCGAGTGAGTGGGCTGTTGGAATCTTACAGAAACGAAATAGTAGTTAGTACATAGAGCAGCGCCTCAAGCGCTTGGAGAAAACAGGATCCAGCCCCCAGTTGCGGGTTGGACCACTCAGTTGCTAGTCTAAGCATCCCGCTGGCAGACCTTGCTTAGGGAGGATTAACTTTATGGAAAGCTAAAGATAGGAAGTTTGGGTTAATAGCGTCACAGATCCTGGCCCTTGCACATATCTGATCGAAATCAGATAGGTCAGAAAGCAGATAAGAGGCATAAAAGTCAAATTGTGTCATGGACCGGGGAAGCCGAAGGCGATCTCGTTCCACTATGCTCAGTTTAGTTGGTATTGACTTCGGAGGCTTTGATTCATGTACACTATACAAGATACGAGGTCAATAATCGATTGTTGCTTGGGATACCACTTGGGGGTTGGAGAATATCCGTGCTTTTTAAGCTTCTCACTTGCGAACCTTGCACTGCACATTGCGTGCACAAGCAAGGGACGGGCGGAGAGCTTTTCTCGCGGGAGAGATAGTAAGGGGACAGACAGTGAGAGAAATGATGGCATGGCTCGAATACAGCTAGCTATCTTCTTGAAGTCCGCCCAGCCATTTAAGTTGTCTGAGTGATTGACGCAAACGGGATGGCCGCATCAAGCAGGTAAGAAAAGTGGCTTTAGTGGGCAGACACACTAGTCCAGAATAGGAGAGAACTCCAATTCTGACTAATCAGAGATGGGGCCCCCACACCGTCCAGGGACGAATCATCAATGATCGTCAGCCACCGTGACCCCTGATTGGGCTAATTATCAGATTGACCCGGTCCACTCACTCCGAGATTATCTGATCCTCGTTGCATCGGAGCCTCCGTTCGAGAGTGAGGGCAAAGGAAAAAAAATTGGAGACCGGATCGAGTCGGATTTTCTGGCCTGCAAGCTCCCGAGCCTCTATCCTTCCAGATTATAGTAGAAAGAGCCTCTCCAGCGTTGCAGATCTCTTCTTTCCTTTCCATCCTCCCATTCTGCCTAATACTCAATTTTTTGTCTATCCTCGCACAGCCTCCCCAGAAGCAACTCAGGATCTGACATCCGGTTTGAGCTTCCTGTGATCGGACGAAGGGGACATACAGTAATGGGTCTCCTCGCGACCGCTCAAGGTCGCGATGACGGCAAAATTATCGACCGGACTACAGTCGGGGAGGAATCACGCAGCTCGCAAAATGAGAAATCGGAGGCACGCGGGACCAACGGCGACAGGTCACCATATGATCCCGAATCATCCCCCAGTTCGGACGTCTCTTATGGGGGCGACATGTTCGACGACGAGAAAGAATTGGCACAACACCCTGACAGTGTGACGGAAGGTGCGGAATTGGGTCTGCAGAAGGCGGAAGCAGCAGCGCTCGCATGGAGCCGGTCATCTTTGATTGGAATATATGCTTGGTAAGTAGATCGCGGTCCATCCGCTGTTGCGATGAAACCCTTTTCTGACAATAATTGAACTTGCAGGATCTGGATCTGCACATTTATGTTGGCATTTCACTCGAATATAAGCGGATTCCTGATCAACTACATTCAGGGAGGATTCAAGACCGCACCGCAGGTCTCAACGTCCTATATCCTAGCGAATATTGTGGGCGGCGTTCTTAAACTGCCGCTTGGTAAGACCTTGAACTTGTGGGGTCGTGCTGAGGGTCTGGTGGTCTCGACCAGCATTTACCTTCTTGGTATGATCATCCTCGCCTCATGTAATGGTCCAGATGGATATGCGGCGGGCTATGTGCTGTACTGGATTGGTTACTACTGCGTATACCTGATCTTGAATGTTTTCGTTGCCGATACCTCGGGTCTAAAAAACCGAGCATTCGCTTTTGGCTTTATGCAGACTCCGTTCATCTGTACTGCATTCACTGGCAGTCTTGCAGCAAACTCGATATACGCTAAGTATGGGTGGCGCTGGGGTTATGGTATCTTCTGCATTGTGATGCCGTTTGTGTTCTTGCCCCTCGCCATGGTTTTCAAGTACTTCGAGAAGAAGGCAGAGAAAAACGGCATCTTCCGAAGACGGCCCAGTGGTCGCACCGTTGGAGAGTCTATCATTCACTATATACATGAATTTGATGGTAAGAATACCCAAAGCAAAGCTCGGGTATTAACATTAACGTTCTATTACTAGTTCTTGGTGCGTTCTTCCTCATGAGTGGTTGGGTACTGTTCCTTCTGCCATTCAGTTTGGCGCAATATGGCCGCTCTACGTATGCGAGCGCAAAGTTTATTGTCCTCATCATCTTGGGAGTGGTCATGTTGGGTTTCTTTGCGGCATGGGAGAAATGGGGTGCACGAACCCACTTTATCCGCTACGAGTTGATCAAGCGGCCGACCATTCTAGGTGCATGCATACTGGCCGCGGTGCTATTTTTCAGCTTTGAACTCTGGGATCAGTATTTCTACAACTACATCCTGATCTCCTACGATATTTCCCCGGTACATGCAAATTACATGATCCAGATTTACAACGTCGGCTCTTGCTTCTTTTCTCCCGTCATTGGAGCCGTCATCTGGGCCACTTCACACTTCAAATACATTTGCCTATTCTTTGGAGCCCCGCTCATGATCCTCGGCTCCGGGCTGATGATCTACTTCCGTGGCGCAGACCACGGCATTGGCTACGTTGTCATGTGTCAGATCTTTATTGCCTTCGCCGGCGGCACCCTCGTTATTGGCGAAGACATGGCCGTTATGGCAGCAGGTGGCCGCGAGGGCACTCCGATGATGCTGGCCCTCATCGGATTGTTCTCGAACATCGGCGGTGCGATTGGCCTAGCTGTTGGCGCTGCTATCTATAACAATGTCTTTGTCGATACCCTCACGACGCAATTGCCGGATGACTTGAAGGCCAATGCCACTCAGATCTACCTCGGTGGTATCACTGTGCAGTCCACCTACCCATGGGGAACCCCTCTTCGCGAAGCTGTCGCGTATACGTGGGGCTATGCCCAGCGCCTGAACTGCATTGCTTCTACTGCCATCTTGGCTTTGACTATTCCTTGCATTCTGGTCTGGAAGAACTACGACGTTAACCTGAAGCAGAACAAGGGCAAGATGATCTTCTAAAATGCTTTCCGTTGGACAGTATACTCGGTTATGACGCGCCCGGGGTTGGAAAGTTTGTTCATATTTCGCGTTGCTCTGAGTGTGCTGCATTCTCTACCGTGTAGTGAAAGGCCTAGTACTCTCAATGTACATTTATTGTAATTATCGTTGAGCGTTGATGATATAAATATTATATCGCATTGTGCTACCACGAAGGTGGCCGTTCCTCTTGCAATTATTACGACCAAATAGTTTACACCTACTCATTTACTCTGTCTCTGTTCTCGACTAGAGGTATTCTGGCCTGAACCAAAACCCAAACATCCATGGATATCTTCATACATATCATCCCTCGCATCCTTCGCTGAGACTTGACAGGAGCCTGAAAACTTCTACTACCGTCGGTGGAGGAGGTATATGGCCAAAAGTCTCTAGCCTCGATGGATATGTTAGTTTTGGATCTGGATTTAGGACTTTTTGACATGTTTGCCCGCGATGCGTTGGGTGGGGGTTCTAACAGCCACGGTGCATTCTCAGGGATTCAAGATCAATACTCGAGATAAGGGCTCATGAAGTTGGGTCTTTTAACTTCTTCTGTCGCACCGCATATTACAAATCGATCCGGATAGCTTTCCAAGGTTGGAATGAGGCGAGATCCCTGCAGCAAGAATATATGATCTTCTCTCATTAGTGACTCCGTAGACTAGGTAGGGTAAACGGAATCGGTCTCCACTCTATATTTCTTGGCATTTATGAGCATTTCAAATACTCGGAGCAACTATTCCAACGTCGAAATGTTCATAAATGCCAAGGAATGCTTATGAAAGATACGTAATTTACTTACCGCTAAGCCGACTACAGAAAGGTTCGGAAGTGTTTGTGAGTATTCAGATAGCTGGAAATTCCGTAGACTACATATTTTATTTGATTAAACATATGGAGCAATAATTACATTCAAAAAGGAAGGCTAATACTTACTTTATTTAGCCCCTCGAGGATCATTTTAGTTATGATTTCTCTACTATTCTATGTCAGGCTCTTTTGTCAGAATGTATTGATAATACATGGGCCGTAAGATACAGTTGACCGAACGAAGCGAGCCGAGCCGAGAATTTGATCCTCAGCTAAATAATATGTCAACTAGAATAGTAATGGAAAAGTCGAATCGGTCTCCCCGTGCCAAAACCGGGAAACAGAACCAATGGCGAGGCGGAGCTGGACTATGGACTATTGTAAGATTTTAGGCGCATTACATGGTTGCAGGCCCAAGAAATTGAGCCATGAAGCTTTCCCGGTGGGCAACTTTTAGGTGCTCGCCATTACGCCTTGGAAGTTAAGTGGACTCCAGTGGACCGCTGCTTTTTGCGGGGATAAAGCTTGGAAGAACTTTCTAACTTTCTGCCTCTCCATGTTGGTTAACGGCAGTATGGGATTCAAAATGTGGTGATTTACAATTTCCCCAAATTCTTATGCATTCGTCGCTATGGGATTGTGTCTCGAACCTCGTTTTATGAGATCCATTTATAAGCAATGCATATTGTGCTTTTATTTCGGCCCAATTAACTATCCGACCATTAAGGACCAGTTATCTTCGGCCATATTAATGAGTTTACCCGGGCATTAGGGGCCAGTTGCAAGATGTATTCCATTGCAATGCAAAATGTGAAACTTATGCCTCGGTTGCTCAGAGGTAACCCCGAAGCTAATACCTCTTTATAACAGGTAGCTTCCCGTTGGCTTTTGGGCATCCTCGTATTATTGCGCTCCATTCTTCTCCTCTCTCCCGAGGTCTGTGATTCTGCTTACTGAAAGAGTCGTCCACAAGCCTATTATTACCCCTCGTTTGGCCTCATCTTCAGCCTATATTGAGCGAGACGAGAGCGATATTTAATATTCTTCTTACCTTGGTGGCAGCGACACATCTCACAAAATGAAAGGCGGCGAGGGTAAGGGTTTCTCTGTCTCCCTGATTTGTCTATCTGAAGACAATATCCACGACATAAAGTCAGCGAACAGAGCAATATCTAAAGGATCCATACAGAAACGCCTTCCGTTGACGGATCAACACTAAGCGCGAACAACCGGGAAAAACTGGGAACAGATCTCGAAAGCGGCCCTGTCGAGCCGAGTGACGCAGCAGAGGAAAAAGTGAAAGATCCGAACATCGTCGATTGGGATGGACCAGATGATCCTGAAAATCCTCTCAAATGGACCTCGAAAAAGAAGATCACAGCGACATGTTCTATTGCACTGGTCACGTTTCTGACGTATGAACGGCCCTCTCCTATATCATTCAGTTGATCAAGCTAACCTCTAAAAACCAACAGCCCTCTCGGATCATCTATGTTCGCCCCCAGTGTAGGCCAACTAGTCAAAGACTTCAATGTCACCAGCACTGAACTGTCATCATTCGTGGTATCGGTATACCTGCTGGGATACTGTTTCGGTCCCCTGCTCATCGCACCTCTATCGGAGTTGTACGGTCGACAGTACGTCTACCATGTATGCAATGTCCTCTACGTGGTATGGACTATTGCCTGCGCCTTTGCACCTGAGATGGGAAGTCTTGTTGTCTTCCGATTCTTCGCTGGCTTTGCTGGTAGCTGTCCGCTCACTATTGGCGCCGGGTCGATTGCGGATATGTTTGTACAAGAGCAGCGAGGAGGTGCGATGGCAGCTTGGGCTCTTGGTCCTTTGATTGGACCTGTCGTTGGTCCGGTCGGTATGTTTATTGAACTCATTTCCTTTACTTGATAGCTCAACTGCTAACTTTGTATAGCTGGCGCGTATCTGGCACAGGCAAAGGGTTGGCGATGGAGTTTCTATGTTCTGGCTATGGCTGTAAGTAGGAATTGCGGCATCCAGTGCCGAAGAAATACTAACAGATCCGGACAGGGTGGTGCTATCACCATCAGCTCGATTTTGAGCATTCGTGAATCCTACGCCCCGACACTCCTGGCTCGGAAGACTAAGAAGCTCCAGAAGGAAACTGGGAACATGAGCTTGCGCTCTGCGCTCGATACAGGCCGTACACCGAAGGAACTGTTCCTATACTCCATTGTGCGACCGACGAAGATGCTCTTCCGTTCCCCGATCGTATTCCTTCTTTCACTTTACGTCGGCGTGATCTACGGATACCTATATCTCTTGTTCACAACCATTACCTCCGTGTTCCAAGAGCAGTACAATTTCTCTCAGGGAACAGTCGGACTCACCTATCTCGGTCTGGGTGTCGGCTCTTTGATCGGTCTGTTCCTTCTAGGAGCAACATCCGACAGACTGCTCAACTACCTAGCTGCCAAGAGTGGCGAGAAAAAGCCCGAGTATCGTCTTCCGCCTATGATCCCTGGAGCCATTTTCGTTCCCATCTCGCTGTTCATGTATGGATGGACTGCTTATTACAAGACACACTGGATTGTGCCTATCATCGGCACCTCATTCCTTGGTGCTGGTATGATGATCACCTTCGTAAGTTACCTTCCTCGTAATCCGTGACTCTATTTTGCTGTGAATTGACTGACTGATACTTGGACTTGCTGTTTAGATGTGTGTCAGCACATACTTGGTAGATGCATTTACAGATTACGCCGCTTCCGTTATGGCGGCCAACACGGTGTTTCGTTCACTGGCCGGTGCACTGCTTCCACTTGCCGGCCCAAAGATGTATGCCGTCCTTGGACTTGGTTGGGGTAACTCGCTGCTTGGATTCATTGCTCTGGCCTTTTGCGCATTGCCAGTCGTCTTTTGGATTTATGGCGAACGCATACGGACGAGTCCAAAATTCCAGGTGACTTTCTGATTGGGTGACAGTACAGGCTTCGGACACTGTAGGGTTATTGCGTCTATTGTTTCTTTTGCGCATTATAGTCCCGACTTATAGACGCGGGAGACGTTGAAGATAGATCGGATTTAAGGGTGCGGGTTGGTGCCATGGATTTAATAGACGCGGGAGACCTCGAAATCGAATATCATTCAAGGTGGATTGGTGCCATGGGGTTTAAAACAATAGAAAAACTGTTCATTTATCCATAACTTTGGGCGTCGACTCTGTACCTAGGTAGAGTGCTCTTCTCGACAAGGGCGTCACTTTTAGCTCCCGAGGTTCTCTATGCTAGAACAGTCACTGTACCTCTAAAAGCTACTAGTACTAACCAGACGGGTGTTGAGACGAGACAGCCTTTAGATATAAAGTGAAACGCTTCCATGTCGAGATCCTGGATTCCTAATTTCCAAACGCGAAGGTCGGTCAGGCTTTGATTTCATCCTCCAGGACACCCTGGAAGACAGAGTGTGAAGTCCACCCAGTGGCGAAGAGGAATTGAAACCCAGAGACAGTAACCTTCTAGATGTTGTTGAACAGGGCACGGCAGTAGCAGACAGACGAGCAGCTGGAGAAATAGCGGAGGTGCTATGAGGAGCTAAAACGCATTGGACAGGCGCAGTTGCTATATACCTAACTAATGTCACATTACTGTGCACTGTCTCTTCATGTATGGATCTGTGCTTTCGTTTGTTGATGCCATGCTTTCAAAAACTGGAAGTGGAAGTTAGCCAAAGGGCACGACCGTAGTAACTGTGACAAGGCTTCAACAGTAACAAAGCCCCAATCAACTCACATTCCCTTTTAGCTTGTTTACTCTCCGCCGTGTCGTGCCACAGCCTCAACAGCCATGTAGCGACCAGTGCATCCCTCAACTCCTGCGACATGCTCCTCGTAACGGATAATCTATATCTGTCATTCTCCTTTTCTTCAACGGCCAGCTGTCTGCCATCGGAGTCGCTCCACTTATAGCAGTTGCCACAGACTTTCCGATTCGGGTGGATATCAAACAATAAGAGTTGTTGCGTGCCGTTGACGAATAATGGCTTATCCGAGGCGGTCCTTTTCGCGCTCAACATCGCCTTGAAGGAAGTCTTTTGGAGCCGTGCATCAGAAGTCTCCAGGCGAATATTGCCCACCGTCTCGGGTACCGCAGAAGTGATGTAGTACTTAGCAGGTATGTCAGTCCGGTATTGTGCATTCATAGGGTGTGCGAGGTAGAAAAGATGTCGCTTTTGCGGCGTGTCAACAGTGACATCGTGCTCGACTCTTTCGACTGCCACGGACGAGTCCTTGTTCGAGATTGACCTGATGTCACTGTTTACTTGGTAAAGTGGGGTCGAAGTTGCAGACTCAGCGAGGACAGACTGGCCGGACAAAATGAGGACGGCGGGCTCAAGGATGGCAGCCGAAAGTTTTCCGCCTGTTGTCTCGTACGAATCAGAGTCCGAATCCATCGTTTTGGGCATCGAGTTCGGTCCGGATATCTGGATATTGCTAGCAAGGACGTGATTATCTGACTGTGAATGCGTAAAGTATCTTCGGCAATAGATAAGGAGAGTAGTAAGTAGTAGTATGGTTTGTGGTTTCAGTTGTAGGCTGTAGTAGAGTGTACCGGGCACGAGTACCTACAGAGTAGATAGGGCGCCTTGAGGTCGTGACCAAAGGTTACCTGGGTTGGTTGCCCATGTGGGGCCCGGGCAATAACACTAATTACATAAGCGGGCGTTTTGCCCGCCCCACGGGTACCTATCCCTCACGTGATGTCAGGCTCACCTGCCTTAACAGTCCATGGACATGAAAGGTCTGCAGTTGCATGAGGCATTTTCTTCTCTTTCCTCATATGAGGACTCTGCGACGATCTCGATGTGCCAAGTTTGGGGGCCGGCGGGTGCAGAGTAGTGTAAGACACCAAGAGCCAAGTTCGAGTTTGGGGGCCAGAGGTGGAGGTGGAGTGTAAGCCACAAAAAGCCACGAAAAGCCACGCAAGGCTAATTTAGGCGAAGATCACCCTTAAAAGCTTATATAAAGTGGTGAGCCCCAGGATCTGCGTAAGCGCCAAGCCCGGGTGTATTTACTTTTTAGGTATGGGTATGTCTATAAATTTTATAATCTCAGCTTTGAGTGGAGCTGTCGAGGCGTTCGACGGGTGTGGCCGTGGGGGCCGTGGGGCCGGGAACCTCGCCAAATCAAGGTTTGCCCCGGGGCCATCCCGATCTTTTGACAGGCCCACCCCTCAAGCCCGAATAACTTGGATTGTTGAATTGAAGTAATTGAAACCTTTGAATCTTACGTACTGATGACAAATCATTGTGAACTTCCAAGGTTGGGAGAGCCCCGGAGCTATGGCAGCCAGCTTCAACACTTCTTGCAAAATAAACACAGTCATGCGGTCCGCTTTGAACGGGATACTCACCGTAGCCCGGGTCATCGCCACCTCTTTCATGGCTTGGAAGGCCCTTTCGCTTTGGACCGGCACACCTTACCCGGTGATGATAGTCACTACTGAGTCTATGGTTCCCGCATTCTTTCCGGGAGATATCCTATTCATCTCCAATCACCACCGAAACGCCGAAATAGGCGACCTGCCGGTCTGCTGGCTACCTGACAGCTCGTTCCCAATGATTCATAGGGTGCTTCGGGTGTCGTACGAGGATAAAAGCAATCCAGATTTGACGTAAGCACTGTCCGAGTCGTTATCTTCTTGCAACGCGTTAACTATGAATGTCTATACCATAGCCAGCTCATATTGACAAAGGGGGACAATAACCTCATTGATGACATGTTAATGTATCCTGAGGGCCAGGACTTCTTGCCCCGAAGCCAGATTCTCGGATTTGTCAGAGGTTACATACCCTTTATGGGATGGTTTGTAATCGGTCTTCAAGATTTCAGATGGCTTCGGGAACTGATTGCTATCTTATTTCGGGGTATTGGCTTGACCCGTTGATTTAAGAAAAGATCTGCTAGTGAATATGTACAGAATTGCAGCTCCACCCCTGGACTCATCCTACTGGATTTAATAGAACATGGTAGACCTTGGGATAGATCCACATTGGAGATATGCAGAAAAAGAACAGAAAAACCCATACCATGCCGGCAACCGTCTGCAGCGTCCCTGGCAGCCTTGAAAGGATGCTCCTCGAGACTTTCATTTTGGATATGGCAGTCTCCGCTGCTGCTGCCAGGAAACACATCTGAAAGAATAAGACGTCTCGAGATAGTGCAGCATCTCCCAATGCCCATCCGACCAATGCGTGTGAGAAACCAGATATCGTGAATATAAGCAACGCGGTCATTGTCCTTTCCAAGCTTGAGCCCGGCTGTACTCCGATCAACTGCCGAGAAACAAGTCGTGAATAATAGACGTACGTGGGGATCGTCAATTGGTGCCAGAATTGACCCCAAAACCCCCGCACGCTGTGCGCTTCTATTGGGCTCCCGAAGAGAGCTGGCCAATCTCCAGGATAATCGAATCGAAGGATTGCCACAAACACAATGGCCAAAAGAGAATGATAAAACTCTAGAAAGAAGTAGGCTCGCCAAATCCATTGGACTGACATAATGGCGCGAACTTGGAATTGATGGGATGATAGCGGGAAGGCTATTTCCTTTGCGGGTGAGAAGTCGGCTACAGCTACTTGCCCGAGCGCACGGATGAAGACTTTCTGAAAAACAAAGTGTTCAAACGCCCACAAACCCGCTGCCTTCATTGACTGATTGAAGGAGAAACGTGCTCGAGACATAGAATCAGTTGGCCCCTCTTTTTCGAAGGGGGAAAGCCGTAATGGTAGCTTTCGAGGATTGTTCCATATCCTATAACAGTCGACGAAGCTCCAGTCATGTGTGCTAACCTCCGGGTTGACAGTATGCTGATCAAAAACGAGCAACTTTGTCGAGTAGAGTAGATAGAAGACAAGCACGCTCGCAAAAGTGCTATCAGCTCCAATCATCCAAGATAGCCTATGAGATGAAGCCAATGACAACAGAGAAAATAGCCAGAGTGGCCCGAGCAACAGAAGACGGGTTCGCCGCCGTCTTTTGAGTCCGATAATGTTGAGCACGCTCGCTATAAGGTAGTAGAGCAACGGCGAGAGTGACTCGAGATACATGGCCTGCAAGTGTTTGAAATTCGACTGTAGAGGAGAAATATGAAAATGACAGATATCAAGATCGAAATGGGAATACTAGATACTATGGTATCTTACTCTCTTAAACTTCGGCAAAACCCCGAAACCCTCCCTGAGATACTGTGGATTCTGAATTCTCCACTATTACTAGAGGAATCCACATCGCTCACCCTGAACTAGGAAAGATTGCTCACCGTCTTCCTCAAAGACGAGGACAATGTAAAAAAGGATGCCCTAATCCGCCTGTCCAACTACTCAGACTGCCCATTCTTTATTTTATTTTTTATTTTTCATATCAAGATAGCCATGGTGAATCTATTTATCATCGTATAAATCCATCAACTTGTAAATGTCCCTATCTTCCTCGTCAAGCTTATGAGACAATAGATTGTCAAAGCCCCCAGGGTCTGCGCTACTATTGGGGGCCAAACCCACGTTCGTCTTGATAATACCGGCCTCTATACATGTATCGCAGTATTGCTATGGATCAATTGTTGGTCTTTCAGTTTCCTGAGTCCTTCTTCCTGCAGGGAGCCCCTTCTGACCCGCTTTTATTGAAGTGTGGGTCGGTAATTAAGATGTGTTTCGGCCCCTTCGAGATGATTATATACCCGCTAAAGCATCTAGAAGGAGAGTTGTGTCGGATCATGCTGTCATTCTGCCTTGAGGAGTCAATTTGGTTACATCGGGGCAACCTGTAGACCCACGCTAACAACGTGCGAGCGAGAAATAGCCCCATTTTGCCGTCTAGATCTCCTGGTAATTGCCCAATGCAATATCCCTGGGGCCATTGTTGGCTTCGAGTAAGCACTACTTCAAACTACGGCCATGATGTTTGTGAGGTCATGCGCCAGCTGCCATGTATCCATGAATACGAGCTTTGACGCTATCTACTTTCGAGTCTAGCCAGGTCGTCAGCATGCACTGATCATGGAAGGTTATGCGAATATCACTTTCATCCTGGGTGGCTTCGAATGGGTATAAAACACCAATCTACCTTCTCTCCCTCATTCTTCTTCTCCGCATCACAACAACAACAAAGCCTCTCAACGAATTCCCAAGCGAAAATCTCAAACTCTTCCAATCAAGATGATCTCTCCCATTTCTCTCAAGGCTGTCGGTGGTGCCGCTGCCGTTTACTTGTTGGGCCAGCAAGTCCAGTGCCCCTTCATTGCCATTCCTCTCATCGGTGATGCCGTTGCCATGACCGTCGCCCAGGTTGGCTCTGCTGCTGCTAGCTTCGGTGGTGCCATTGCCGCCGGTCACTTCGCTGGCAAGAGAGATCTTCAGGGTCGTGACACCAAGGTTACCGCTCCCGCCGGAGTGCCTCAGTACAACTTCGATATGTGCGCCCAGAGCTTGTCGGACCCCTCGGTCACTGTTACCGTTAGCGGTCCCGTTGAGAACAATGGTAAGCATTTAGCAACAACACTCAACTTTGAATCTTAATCTAACGCCTATCAGGTGTCAAGGTTGACGGCCTGCCTTCTAACTGCATGGTCCTCTCCAATGTTTTCGACGGTAATGCTGCCGGTGGCCCTGTTCCCACCCCTTGTGGCTCTGCTTGCCTTCTGTACAACAACCTGAACCAGGATCAGTATGGCCAGATGCAGGCCATCTTCGAGAAGATGAAGAACCTGTAGAGGATCTTAGGCACTTTCTATCGACAGTATTCTCGTCTACTAGGAGGGTTAGGGTACTTGTCTTGATGTTGTGTTGTTGATAATTTTGCGGAAGGAGGTTGAGGCCTTGGAAGCCGAGTAAACATTACTTCTGGTCGTCCATAGAACACTTCACAGAATCATTCATGCACTTGGAACATTCGCTAAATATAGTTTTCATTGCTTTCATTCTCATCAGACTCTATATCTCCTAATATTGTCTTTGTCAAAATTTCACTTTAAGAATTCACATTTCCATTTCTATTATCAGCGCCAGGCACACAGTCAAGGTATAACCTAAACTCAATTCATATGTGCGGTCATTCATATGCCCTTGGACGTTCTTCTACATATCGACCACGGTTTTTACTACACTAAGAATGGGAGAAAGAATATACAAAGGGCCCCCAAGGAAGACATGTGAGTGTTGTCTCAAATAAAAGGGCCCTAATATTATCCTGAGTCAAATAGATCAAATTATCAATCCTACATCGCCAAGGACAGAGGCCGCATGAGCGGTCGAGTATTCTTGTCTTCCTACTGAAACTAGGTAAGTTCAAACCGGTACTCCGTAATATTCTAATTTCCTGAGAATATTCTTGGGTGGGTTCTGTGCCTGCCTGCCATGGGGGCCACAGAGTGACAAGTAGGGGCCAAGGCCTAGTTGAGCGTTGATGCGCAAGAGGGTTATGTCGTACACAGCATGCAACGGGTAACGTGCCTTTTCGGGAAGTGTCTGAGACTGGGTTGGTTTAATTTCGAGTAAATTGAACTATTGTGCCAAGAGAAGGGTAGTGTATTTGGCCCCCCAGGAACAGCGATCTACCTATCTTCCTGAGTTAGACAAGAGACAGGACCAATCAAGACCAACCAATCATCCAACTCGATGCTAGACCCACTGAGACATTAATATTCTGCAGCGGGGGAGTGGCGGAGTAACTATGGATATTACACTGAGTTCAGTACGTAAAGCCCGTGGAATCAACGCCTATGAGCCAGAGTCAGCAATATCGTCCGACTCCCTAGATTTTTGTTCAATTTTCTTTTCTAAAGCCATATCGATATGGATGCCCAAGACGAAAGAAGTATTCTGAATGCGCCTGAATACCAGGAAAGTGACGCCCCGCCCGACTATGATGAGGCATTGCTGAGCTGCCCCACATCACCATCTCGCTATGGTTCACTTCCGTCCACCATGAGCGTACATGGCCAGTGGACAAAATGGAAATCAATGAATCTCTGTGGAGGTGAAGATGCCAAGAACCGTCTGTGTTTGATTGAGATGCAAACTGGCTATAGCGGCAAAGCTCCGCTGGGGATGAGAACAGGATTCCTCCTGCGTAATGGGATGAGCAGCAAGGATTCACTTCTTGCTGCCGCTGGCGATGAGTCGCGCGGCCTCCATGCATTCAATCCCGACGGCATCGTCTTCTTGCCGCCACTTGATCCGGACCCGAAGTGCGACCGCATGGATACAGAACTCCTGCGCGCCGAACCTGGTCCAAATAACGATATCGCCTTCCACTTTTCCATCGAGATAGGCGAGAAGGAGCGGCGGCACGAGTTTGCATGGAGGAAAGTCAAGAAGGGTGAAGACCAAGCCAGGAGCAATGGGTTCAAGTTGGTTCGGCTCGCGTCTACTAAGCAGGCATCCGAACTGAGCGGCAGCAGCAGCGCCCAACAATCGTCTTCGTCCTCGCCTCCATTAGCAGGCGAAGATGGTGAGGCTGTCGCCTTTGTTATGTGGGTTATGGCCTGGCCCAGTCTAACACATGCGTTCACGCTTGAGGTGGTGGACGGCCAGTCGAACGCGTTGGGAGCGCGCTGGACTCTTATGGTCATTGTTACTGCAATCAGACTCTACACACTGCATGTAAAGGGGAAAACGAGCAAGTTCGTTGTTGATATGGGAAAGAAGACTTCGGGAAAATAATCCCAAATCTTATATGTAACTGTACGCGCAGGGTGGATGGGGAAGACATCTAGGAACGATGTAAAATATACTCGTTCATGTGCCTATTTATTTACCATGTTACTTGGATATATATACGCATTGGCATTCAAAGTTCATTTTAAGACGACCCATCTAAATATTACAATTATGGGCACCATACCCAGAATTTTTTCCTTCACACCCTTAGAAGAGTAGTTGGCCGTATACGCCCTCTGTCTGTTCTAGAAGATCTGATGCGTCTGGCTCAAGATGATGCTAGGGGCGTTATATGTAAGATAACACCTCCATCTCCTTTGTATGTCCCTTTTAGATGGAAAAGGAGCCGCCGATTCTGCATTCGTTGTTCTGTATTTTCGTAATCGCCACTAAGAGACCTTCTTCCATTTCAGTGCCTTTTTCGCCTTATTATCCCCCTTTAAAAGGGTAATAATGTCATCCAATGTTGCTGGTGAAGTAATCTGACGAAGGTCCCCACCGATCTGGTCGTATAGATGGAACTTGCCACCAGCCTCGAACATAACTTCGCCGGCTCCAGGGTCGGTGCAGCACATTATAGGGGTGCATTTCCCAAGCTCAAATTCAATACTGAGACGATAACCGTAGCCATCCTCCGCAACCCAGTTATCCTCCTAGTGAAGTCCTTCAGGATCCATTGCCGATCCTGGAGACCTTAGCGCTTTGTTAGTATCAGTTGTTGTATAGATGATGTAATCTTCCACATGTTCCAGGATAGAAGGTCAGGATCAGGTAGGTTGTAAGCTTACTAGACGTTTGGTGCTCGCCATGACCAACCCTACCTAGGTATGACCGGACTGATTCAAGTGTTGATGAAAGATTATCTTTAGGTGAGATAGGATGCAGCTCTGAATCTGGATTCGAATTGGATGTGAATGCGATTAGTTGGCGATGGTGAGGGAATTCGATGGCAGTTGATCATTCAAATTACAGCTTGTCACTGAGGAGCCTAAGGTATCAATATTAGATGCCTCTAATGACTCATAGATTTCATGTTTCCAAGGTTGTCTCTAGGGTCTGAATATTGGCGAACTGGCGAGAGTTTACTAATATCAGTTAATGATTACGTAGTTGAAGAAATCTTCATATTTTCGATCGGCTGAACTCTAGATATCTATCTCTTCGAAGTCGCATATATGCCTTGACAGTAAAGGCTTCCCGGTTTCACTTAATGTCAACGAAGCGATGAGGGGTGCAACACTCATGTACATGTAGAAAAGGCTTTGACTGACTTGTAAACATGGATATATATACGTACAGCGAAAGAACAAAGTCTAGCAGAACGAGCCCAATTCGGACATGGTACTTCAAAGCATCAGCCTATCCAACACGTAATCTGACACATACGACCATAGGGTGTGGAAAACAGGGCTTCCCGTCCGCTCAGCCGTACTTAAGCCCTAGGGATTCAATGCGGTTGAATTAAAATAAGCCTTGATGACTTAAAGCAGCGATTATTATTCACGAAATTGAGTGCGCGCGATTTGGGTGATTTGCGTGAAAAGACAAGGCACTCGCGCGAGCGAGGGTGCCTGGGTGAAACTCCGCTCCCCTTTACCACACATAAATAGCGCCATGTCGCCCCTAGGCACTTTTCCTGCTTCAACGTCAACATGGACGAAGAACAAAAACTCCAACTCCTCCTCGAGGAGAATGCTAGGCTTGCTATATCACGTGGCTTCACTCTCGAATACCAGAAGGCAGTGGAGAAGAGCGATAACGTTGTTTGCTATAAAGAGTTAGCACCCGCTACCGAGGACAGATATAAGGAGGCATTAGTGCTATAGAAAATGTGAGTAATCTAAACTATCTTATAATCCTCTACTAAATGTTTCTAGGTAGAAGCTTTCCCGTAATGAGGGGAGTGAGGCAATTATCTCTAAAGACTCGCCGGTTCCTACCCTATAGATATTAAAGTTATTTATTGAACACTTTATTATGACACGGAAGAAGGACCTTCCCTCGTAACTAACGATATATATCACTTTTATCGGCTTCACTTCTTAGTGGTAGCGACTAACTAACCGGACAATCCCTAAAGAATATAAGAAAGATGTTCTTAACGTATAGTGCACTCCCTTCCTTAGTTCTAATTATCGCTAATTAACTAAGTGTATCCGAATAACTCTTATACGGAAACATAAACTTCGTATAGAACCTCGGGACCGATATATAGTTACGGCTAAAGATATCGACTTTCTACTCCGCCGCCTTTTTATTAACGATTAGTATAACTATACCTACGAGCGGGCCCGGGTGTAAATTGTAAGCTCCCTCTCCTTATTTGTAGGATCTAGTTCTCGAGCTAGTGCTATTATAGAATCAAGCTCGTATCGAGGCTTAAATAAATGTCTTGCCTATAAGGTTAGTCACTATATTCGGCTATTTAATTCCTATATTCCCTTAAGCTAATTCTACCCTTAAGTATATCACCCTCTACGTTAAATAGAGTGGTACCGATACGACTTTACGTCGTTAGGTGGTTATTGATTCTAAATTCTTAAAGGGCTAGCGTAAGCGTAAAGACAAGCACTAGTGAGTTATAAAAGATTTAACTTATATATCCCCCCTAACTTGCTAAATTATAGACCTAAGAATTAGTTTAATAGGCACCCGATTCTTATATTAAACTTCGTGTTTTAGGTTATCGTTTATAGAGTGGTAGATAGAGCATTTCGAAACTTCTTAACCGTTAACTAGGTCCTTACGGTACGGCTACCACGAGGTAGATAGTTATAGACATTTAGGTAGAATAAAGTATCGATAGAGCTACTATTCTTTAGAATAGTCACGGCTAATAGGCCTAATCTAAAGAAAGGCTAAATATTCTCCTCTCTCCACTACCATAATATAAGCCTAGCTAGTAGGAGCGGGTTTAAATATAAATTACGCGTATATAGAATTCGTGGTAGCGTCGTAAACAAAATTGATAGTAGGTGGAATTTTGCTAAGAGATAGTAAAAGCTAACCTTAGGCAGCTAGTGTATCTTAAGCTACCCGTGGCTAAGCCCTCGACTATTAAAGCTATAATAGTTATCTTAGATACTAGGCCCTATATAAGTCACTAGATATATAGGCTTTATATTATAGTATAAAACCGGATTATAAGTGCCGAGATATATAATAGAGTATATTACACGACTAAGATTCGAATGTCCCGTATTATCTAAGTGTAGCTACTTTCGCCGAATTGTAGAGAGATCCCGAAATAATCGTATTAAATAAAAGAATTGTTTCTTTAACGGAGGAAATCGATCTTCAGCCTAATATAAGCCTAGCTCTTACTCGCGACCGGAACGCTCTTTACGGAAAGAAGACGAGAATTCTAAAGAAGCGAATAGCTAAGTTTATTTAAGAATAGTGGGATACCTCGTACGATAAGTATATATCCGGAAATGATTTCTCTAAAAGGGATACCACTCCTCTCTTCGATATTTTTCGGAAATATTCACCGGAGCGCGAACGCCTTAGTAAAGACCTATTCTAGGAAGCGTCTCTTAATAGTGAGGTCGGTAGAAAATGTCTTACTAATTTAGTCACTCTCTACGAATCTAGAGAGCGGGTAGCCTATTATCCTAGGCTCTAGCCTATAGATAGCTAATGCCTAATATGCTCTAAATTGATATCCGAGTATATTTTATAACCACTTTCTTAATACTTATAGAAGCTAACTTAAATAAAGCATTCCGATCTAAGGACGAGCTAAGTATATCCTCTAGTGTCGACGAAAATCATAGAACGGTGCCCTATATTAATAGTTGTATACGAATAATAAACGTACGCACCGTCGTGTTAGGCGCAACTTTGTCTAATTTTGCTATCTATACGCTAAATTTATTAACGACGAAGAATCGTAGAGATAACACTACTAAAGTTATCTCGATAGTCTCTAGCCTCGCTATAGAATGCTTACCTTTCGGTACATACTCGTCTCACTAGGATTCTATCCTTTTTACTTAGGTAATAAAGCTAAAAGTGCGGATAAAAGATTTCGGTAGTAGGTGACTAAAGTATCACTTCTTAATTATATTAACGATCACTTAGACTCACGACCTTCTTTTACTCCTCTTTTTTATCCTTATCCTTCCTATAAAAATAAGGAATATAAAGGGACCGAATAGCTACAACACCACTTTTACGATGCTTATTTAATCGAAGAACCCCGTTCAAATTGCTTACGCCGGAAAAGACACTACGAAGGAGACGCCGAAGAAGATATAGACGGAGATATCGAGGTCTAGAAGTAGGAAAAGAGGGTAAAGATATTATAATTAATAACTTAAGATAGTGCTACTAAAGGTTGACATTTAATATAAATAACTATTCCAGAAAATTATACGGTAAATATATCGGTGTTCTAGGTGAAAGCGGAGGAGCAACACGAAAGATATATAAGAGGAGACTATATAGAGGGCTAACTATAGCGCTAGTTAGTATCTTATTAGGTGCCTAAATGCCTAAGGCACTATATAGGGCTAGAACCTAGATTAGTAAATAGTCCTCTCGCTCTCCTCTCCCCGTCCACCTATTCTTTATTAATCTAATATAAAGGTTTCCCTATTGATCTGAATTCTATTCGTATTACGATACCGTAAGGTTATAAGTCTCTCTTTCGCTAGTAAGGACCACTAGTAACTCGTTTTCTAAAGCTTTTACCTAGACCTATAAATCGAGTCTCCCGTCCCGCGAACCGTAGGGAATTCTATACGGACCGGATTAGGCCAATTATAAGCCGAGGTCCCGACTAGCTTAGGATTATTATCTACGCTATTAATTCTTTTTCTTATTCTTTTTCTTTTTCTTTTTATAATTTCCTTTTACTTTTATTTAACCTTTACGCGTAATTCAATCTCGCTCTAAATTATTAATCTTATAATCTATAATCTATAAATCCTAGGCTAAAGTTATAGCGCTAGCTCTATTATAGCTATATCTACCTTCCTAGTATAGTATAAATATATAAC